CTGTTTCTGATCGTAAACTGAAAATTTGTCGTTGTCAATGCCTTCCCTTTTCTGGTTGTTGTTGTTGTTGTTGTTTTGTTTTTTGTTGTTGGTTTGTTTTGTTTTGGGGGGGGTGTTTGGTTTTTTTATCACAAAGGAAAGGGATCTTTTCTCAATCACCTTCTGCGCACCCTACCATCTTTACAGTTTACGGGCAAACTTATTTGAAAAGATTTCCAAATACATCAACAGGCTCCGAGAAAACGTCAGATAATATAGACATGAGTCTGAGAGACCAATAAGAGTCAAAACGATCGACCTTAAAATATTATGGATATCATTATTTCAGAGTCGTCTTATCTTTTTTGCGAAGGCATACACCGATACACCACTTATGTTCACTCTTTTGTGATGCGAAATGAGACGTGGTTATAGAGCTACTTCCTGTTTGGTACCCAATATTGTTGACTGTCGACAGGAGTCGACGCATTTTGTGTTCACAAGTTCGGGCTTTGAAACTCAATTGACAGAGAAATAATCATTATTGTACCAACGTGACGATGGCATCAACGTCAAGTGTAAGTTATTCTTGAGAAATTTGTTTTACTTTATATTTTAAACTTGAGTAAGGAAGATGTGGCTCTCTTCTGGCGATCAGTCCTCAGTCGTGGTCTTCCCTGGCCTGGCCTGACCCTTCGGCTTCGGGCCTTGCTGGCTTGGTTGCTCCGTGTCGAGTCTCAGTCTAGATCTATAATATTTTTGTTTTTAATAATTTATATTTTATTTGTCGTACTGTATGACATGCCATGGCATTGTTTTTGGTAAAATTGAACTTTGTTGGACCCAACACTGAACGAAGTCGGATCTACTTTTGAGCCTCGCTGTATGGTCCGCTCATAATGAATGATAATAATATTATTGTTTTGCATATGTTGGGTTTTTTAAATTATTGTTGTTGCCAGGGGAGCAAGCCCCTTGAAACCCCCCACTGTTGTTATGGCTAGTGCACATATGTACACGTGGTGGGTCCACCAGTTCAATCCAGCCTAGATTTAGGTTTTTTTTACGAAGTGTATACAGACCCGGTAACCGGGAACAAAGTCACAAAGTATACAGACCCGGTAGGGGAACTGTTTTGTGATTTCGGAAAGTTTCAGTGCCCAAACCCGGTAGTGTGTGTGTGTGTGTGTGTGAGTTAGAGAGAGAGAGAGGGGAGAGAGAGACCAGGGGGAAATGCTAGCAAAATGTATGACATGCCCGGCCAGTTGGCAGGAGGGAACGAGAGAAAGATTGAGTGGGAAATAGGTGGGGAGAAAGAAATACAGAGACAAACAAAGAAAAAGAGAATGCGAGCGATACACAGAGAGAGAGGAGAGAGAGAGAAAAATAGAGAGGGTTACTGCTTGATTGAAATTATGACATGTTGTTCTTTTCTTCAAATTGTGATTCCTCCAACTCAAAAACGATCGTTCATCGAAAAGACATCCGCAATCTTCATTTAGATTTAGATCTAGATTATCTAGATATCTAGATCTAGATCTAGGCTAGCCCCGAAACTAGATCAATGATTTATATCTGTCTGTCTAGATCTAGATCTAGACCAAGGCCAAGGCCATAGGCCATAGATCTAGAAGAACCTAGATATCGAGTTCTACCCTGAGCCAAGAGGGTGCTGAAACTTTCCGAAATCACAAAAGAGTTCTCCTACCGGGTCTGTATACTTTGTGACTTTATTCCCGGTAACCGGGTTTGTATACACTCCCTTTTTTTTTAGGCCACCTCTATTCTCACCCGGGATGAGAATAGTGCAGGCGAGTCTTTTGGCTATTCTCACCCGGTGCGCGTTCACCGTTATAGCCTAGATCTAGGCCAACAAATTTTGCGTTCACCCTAAACCACAGAATTCTACACTGTGATAACAGAAACATTGTAGAATTCTGTGCCGTGAACAAACGTTCCATTACAACTGTAGCCTACCAAAAAGGTACAATTTGGTCTGTGGGCAGTGGAGAGAGAGAGAGAGAGAGGAGTAGCGCGAGAACTTCCGGTCAAAACAAAATGGCGACCCGCGTAGTTCGGCTCGATTCGAAAAGTTAAATAGCTGTAGCATCTTTGTAGACAACCAAATTAATTTACTTTTGTGTTTTAACATCATTTTTTAACTTTGTTTTGGTCAATTTGATTGTCCACACCGATAGACAGTATTCAGAAAGAGACAGAGAGAGAGGGGAGGAGTAGATCTTGCGAGAACTTCCGGGCAAAACAAAATGGCGACCCGCGTAGTTCGGCTCGATTCGAAAAGTGAAATAGCCATAGCATCTTTGAAAATGATCAAATTAGCTTACTTTTGTGCTATAACGTAATTTTTTCTTGGCTTTTATCAATTTGATCATCCACACCGATAGACAGTATTCCAAAATGAGGAAAAGCAGGTCTTGTTTCGCACCGGGTGAGAATAGCCTACGCTGGCAATTCTCACCCGGGGTGAGAGGTAGATCGTTTTTCTATTCTCACCCTGGATGAGAATAGCCACTTCCTTTTTTTATCAACAAACCGTGTCAGCTGCTACGCATACTAGATTCTCGTATTAGATCTAGATCTTGGGTAAATTTTTACTTTCACACATAAAGCCACTAAAACTGTCGCAAATCAATTATTTTCAAGACAATTTCAAATCTAACTGTAAAATATCAAATTATGGGTGTAAAAACAGGGGGGCATGCTCCCTGTAACCCCCCAGATTTTCTTTTACCCCCGTGTGGCAGGCCCCCCTGGAACCCCCCTATTGGTCCAAAGCATGTCTATCTCGGTTAAAAACAATCAAATATTTCAAAAACTATTAATTTGCGACGGAAATGAAGTTGATATTCGTGTTCAGCGCATCAATATTTAGTAGAAAGTAGATAACTGGTAGCTGAGTGTGAGACGGGAGGGAAAGTAAAAAAATACCAGATCTTGATCTACATTCTAATTTATATTGATCGCATATTGATTATATTTGACATGTATTGTATTTAGATTTAGATCTAGGTCTACTGTCTAACGAAGTGTCAAATGAAATTTCTAATGATCGTATATAATATATTGATTATTTATACATGTGACATGTATTGTATTTACTGTCAAACGAAGTGGCTAGCCTGCTAGTCTAGCCCTACTTAGGTTAGGCCCTATCGACCAAAACATGTTGAGTACACAGGTCTCATTAGTGATATTCAGGTTTAAAATACTAATTTAAAATACAGTCGAACCTGCAGGGTCCCCACCAGGTCGGGAAATCGGGAAAAAGTCGGGAATTTTGAGATAGGTCAGGAAAAAGTCCGGAATTTTGTGATGGGTCGGTAAGTCAGGAAAGGATAGGGCCTGTGTAATATTAGTAGTGTAGCTATCGAGACAGTATGGTTGATGAATCATGAAGAGGAAATGTAATTGAACCACTATGGCGGCAGGCGGAAATGTATGTGTGACACCAAGGCTCGATCGGGAAGAATCAAGATCTACTTTCGCTTCCGTTACCACCCAGAAATTTTCCGGTAATAGTCTGATAGATAACGTCCTCTGCTGTCACTTCTGAAAAAAGAAAAGAAAAGAAAGTTATACAAGCGTCTTGTCTCGTTCGCCATCGTGACCGGTCAAGGAACCTGTGAGTGTGAGTACCGGCGGTCTGAGCGCTGTGAAGTATAGGACTCCAAAATGGGGGTGGAGGGGGAGGGTATGGCTTTTTTTAAAAATAAGTTACACTCAGGGAAGGGGATGGTGGGGGGGGGGAGCTTAAGGCAACGCTAGAGGTAAAAAAACTTAACTAGGAAATAAATTTTTAGAATTTTGAGAACTAGCAATTACTATAAGAGCTCTCTGCAAAGCGCGCAATGGTGCAGGCCTTGTGTGGAATCGGGATCTGTCATGCCTTGTTATTGAACTAAAGTGTTCGCGTTTCATTTGATGGGGTGATTGTAATTTATATCTATATTTTAGCTTTCTGTTCAAGATTGGCAGATTTTCAGTGTCACTGCATCTTGCCCTCCCTCAGTTCTTACACCTCTCGCACTTAATAGGTCTACTTGAGCCATTCAAGTTATTCCACTAATATTACTCTACTTTGAGTTTGAACAATAGTTTTCGTCTTCATGTTTATTATAATATGAATCACGACACCCAGACTGGTTATTGACAGTCGATATTCTAGTTCTAAGTCTTTTCTCAGGCTCACCACAGGATTCATTTTTTAATAGGGCCTATATAGAATCTAGTTTATGTAGGCTAATATGATGAGGGGAAAATATAAATAAGTAAGAACAGACTGAAATACCAAAGTCACACAAGATCCCAGTGCCACACTGACATGTTGTTGACAGGATATAGTGTACCTACATGTGTGTGTGTGTGTATTCACAAACATACACATATATTAGATAAATGGAGCACATGCTGTCATTGCTATGTAACATGCCCCTGGAAAATGGTTGAGGCCCCTCCCTTGGAAAATTAAGAAGCTGGGTTGGCAGTCACCCAGCATTATAATCATCTATTGTTTGAAGACTATACTACAAAATGTACATTTGCATTCATTTAAAGACATTTTAACTTTTTATCATTGATAGATGGACTTTTTGGGGATCTTTCTTGACGCGCAGTGGCCTCACTTTTTCCCTTGAATTGGGGTCTTGAAAAAAAATTTCAGGATTTGGTGGCGACCCTGAACCTGCCCTGACGGCCGCCTCTATAAGACGTTCACCTGTACAAACGGCCACTTTCCATTTCCCCCCTTGCGTTTTTTAAATATAATTTAACTGTGTAAAACGGGCACCTGGCCAACGCGGCCACCATATTTTAACACGCAACCCCTACCACAGTAAGCCATAACACCTGTCTTAGACGGCCACCTTAGTGACTCCATTACGTTTTGTCGTAAATTGTGCATTGGCCCCTAACGTTGAGGGCGAGCCGTCATAATTCAATCAACAGTCGTTGTTGTTAGGTAGTCCCTCCAACCGATCATGTTGCGTAGGCCCCTCCCACTGTTGACCAATAGGTAACAAATTTTCAGCTGCCATTGAGGTAAGGTGTGATCCCTCCTGAGTCATAAAACCTATAAGCCCCGCCCAGAACTCATACACAAATCGTAAGTGAGATGAGTGGTCACTGTTTACCCAGTCTGTGACAAAGTAACAATGGACGTCAACATGAACTTGAGACAGAAGCGTCGCTCGTTCTCCGAGTGGTGGCGACCCATATGTTTATTTTACCATAGCTCTCGGTCCTCCCTGTCTGACACATTTCGTTTTCTTGTCACCCTTGTACAAAAGCAGCAACAAAAGGGAAGAAAAAAAACCCACAGCGAAAACAATTATAACACCAACAACAACGCGGCGATCTTCGGTTGGGATCTCAGAAAGGAAGGGTTTGTTTTCTTCATCTTGATCAGTCCTGCCTAAGACGGCCACCTGTCTTATACGGCCACTTTTCTCCTTGACAATTGGTGGCCGTCTTACACAGGTTCGACTGTAGGTGCATGTCAGTAAGGCACCTTTTGGTTTCGTCTCAAATACAAATACTTTAGGAATTGCACACAAAATTTTATTTACAATTCAGTATTCTTTTGCTTTTTGTCAGTCTAGATCTAGCCATCATTGTTAAGTACGGCTAGCCAAGCGGTCTAGCCATTATTAAGTATGGCTTGCCTATTCCATTTACGAACAGGAGGCCCCAATGGCTATGATGCCAATGAATGGCATGGTCCAAAATCTCTGTCAAAATTACAAAGACAAAATCACAAACCGGCATCAGTCACAACCTGTGGCGTAGGGTGTATCGCCATCGCATGCAGAAAACCCAAGTTTGTAATGTATAGAGATGTAATTTTTATAAGTATCTCAGTCTTTCTGCTGGGACGTATGGCTCTCTGTCTGTTTCAGTCTCAGCCTGGGTTGACCCTGTGACTGTGAGGGCCTGTCAGACCGGATCAGAAAGTCACAGCCCACCTCCTAAGTTTTATCTTAAAATTATGTTGAACACCTACACATTATTAAAGCGAACCCCCCCCCCCCCCCCCCCCCAACAACAACAAAAACAAAGACCAGCAAAAATTATTGTTGTGTGGGAAAAAAAGGTCTTTTTTAAGCAAGACAGGTGTTCAACTCAACATCAGAGAAATCGAGCCATTTGGTTGGCATGCTTCGCGCTTCAGGATATGATATTCAACATCAACAGAAAATCAGATGTTTACTGTCCTGGCACAGCAGAAATGCACGTTGGATGCCAAGGGCTCAATTTTTCTGATATTTAGTTTTTTAAATCTACTGCTTTTTGGGGGGGGTGACAATGATCAAATCTTATTGTGGCTTTTAGTAAACACAGGTCATAACTAAACTTGGTTTTTTTTAATCAAAGAATAGAAAAAAAGTCTTCTGGGTGGTTAAGAAAAAATACAATTTTCTATTCGGTAACATTGGTGTTGTGAACACTTTTTGAAAAGGGCCAAAAGGTTTTTTGCTATTATAACATTACCTACTTTTTAGAGTATTCAGTATTACTTACATAGAAGACTGAAGATTAGACTTTTTACTCAATCAAATAGTGGTTCCTTTTTTCTGATCGCCAGTATTTTATTTTTGTCACTTTAGCTTGCTTTCACCTTGAATTACTTTTTTTTTTCAGGATGAACCCTCAACCTCTGGCTCTTCTGGCAAAGGTGGCAGTGGCAAGGCATCCAGCAAGTTTGCTAGGCTGAACAGACTGAGGGATCTGGAGTTGAAAATGGTAAAGTACAACATGCAGTCTTTAAAAATGCAATAATTTTAACAGAAGAATAATGATTTGATACTTATCATGTTCCAGTCATTGTCAGACTGTGTGTCTTAGAGAGAAACAATGTGCATCTCTTTATTAATCTCAAGATAAAGAGAGGTAGCGAAAATATTCGTCACTGTAAATAAAAAATATGGTAAACCAGGTCTTCTTGTAAAAGCTGAGTTCTTGATGTTGCTATGCTTTTTCTGTTCATTTGTTTACCTGTTTGGTTTGTTTTGAACAGTTTTGTATCATGAAATACAAGTACAACTCATGATGTGATACTATAGCAAATCCAAATCATTAGATTTAAAGACATGATTATATGTTTGTTTGAGCAAGTCTAACATTGATATTCATGTCTTTTGATGAGATATATTGTCACAGTATCACACCATCCATCATGTACCTACTATTTATGTAGTAAGACCATCTTTCCGAATGAATGGGGGGGTAGGGGGTGCTTTTGAGAAAATTCTCTCAAACAGAATTACTATCACGTATTCATACTATGTTTTTTTTCTCTTTTTTTTTTTTTCCATTAAAAAAATTATTTCTGAATGAGTAGCTTAAGGGAAGATGTTCTTCAAATATAAGTTCTAATATTCTAATGATTTTTGTTACCATTACAGAATGAAGCCAGAAAAATGAACCATGCAGAAGTTGTTGCTGAGGATGAAAGAAAGAAAAGGCCTAAGAATTTTGATGCCAAACGAAAGAGAGTTGAGTGGGAGCAGAAAGACGCTGAACAACGAAAGGTACAGTTATCTTTCTTTGTTGGGTTTTTTTTTTCAATTTTTTATATATTTTGATGGCACTTATTGTTCCATATTGTCTTTTATGTGTCAGCTCGATAGTGTGTCATTTAGCCCTTTACAGTGTCGTCTTTCGATGCTTGTTCAAGGCTTTTGATATGAGATTTAACCCTCATCCTGCGGGAGCCGGGTTTATGTAGCCCGATAAGCCTATTTCGGCACCTCGCCTGCGTTCTGGTCCCGAATCAGTGTAGCTCCTGGCTCAGCGCACGCGCAGCGCGCATCCTCTTACGTGTCATTCGGGTCCCGAGTCGGATCCCCATTCACGCAGGTCAAGTGTGTGTGCGTCAGTCTGCTTGAGTTTGTGTGCGTTTGTGGCCTTCTTCTAGAACCACCTGCATTGGTTTGTAATCGAGGCATATGTCTCATTCAAAACATGCCAAGTTGATAGCTCTAGATGTTCGTCCAATGAAATTATAGAAGAAATTGACCCACTTAGACATGAGGAGCTCGAAAGGATAGTCAGGAAACAATACTTCCATTTCTTTATACAAAATATTTCAAATAAGCTTGATTTTGTATGAAATGATACTACCTGATAAAAAATGAGCTTGTTTGATAGTTTTGAACCCTTGTGCAGGTACAAAGAACAATTTGAGTGTAAAACATTCGGAAATTGACCTAAATTATCCCCTTTCGAACCTCAGGTCATTCATAACAACAAGAGCGTCCAGAAAGGTTATTCAAATGGGCGTAACTACTCGTAATGTCTTATCAGCTTGTGAGAGGGGGTTATTCATGTGTTTCAGTTTGTAACACTTTATAAATAGAAAGCTATGAAGGATAGAGCGTTATTTTCATCATCAGTTAACACACTACCGTGGTATTCATGGCAAAAACACATGTTTCCCGGCGCGCGCGCTGTACACCAACAGTACACACTGAGTGACCCCGGCGGCCTGCCCGGCACGTCCGACGTAATCGGTTGCTGATAAGATACGCATCTGGGCACAGACGCAGGATAAGAGTTAACTTGTAATTTAGATGAAAATCACCACCCCTTCCGTTGATACTGATCATGAAGCTTTCTGTCTTGTATTCTTTAACATTTGTACATTTTTTTGTGGGTTTTTTTTTCACTTTTGTGTTTTGTCTCTGTTTAGAACTGTTTGCAAATGATTGTTAGAGATTTTTCTTTGTTTGTTTGTTGTTTTTTCCCAAAATGACACATTTTGATCAGTAAGTGTTGCTTGAGCCATGAGTGTGTGTATTAATCAACCTGGGCAGAGCTGGATACCATATCTTGGCAGAAAGATGGAGGTACTCTGTAAAATGTAAAATGCTTTCTCCAAGTCAGAATCAAAATCAGGTGCTTTGCATGTACAGGTGAACAATAAGCATCGCGCCACTGTTAATTTTTAAGCTTTTTGAGGACATTTGTCAATTTGTCCATATAAGGCGCAATATTTGATTAGCATGGGCAGAAATGTAGATATGTAAATCTTTCATACCCCCATCAACATAAGTAGGATCATTTGGAATGGGGGCTGCTTTGACCTGACCTAAAAGGAATACCAAGTCCTTGTCAACAGACAGAGATACTCTATAAAAATCTGCCTACACAAGAAGTGGACTCACGTTTTCTGCTTGGGATGGCGAAGAGCGTAAGTGCTTTCCCCATTGACACCGATGCACAGACTTTGAGGGGCCAGCAACCGTCTTTGAGGCTGTAGACAGTTTATGTTGTTTCTGAGGCCATCTGAGTTATCTTATACTCACAAGAAAGGGCAAAAAGTACTTTTTTCATGTCTCTGGTGTAGCAGTTAAGTGCTTCACCATTGCATGCAGAACACCTGAGTGCGATTCCCAAGTAGGAAGAATTTTTGTTGAGTCTTTATCTGTCTTCCTGCTTGAACATGTATCTCTCTCAGCACAGGTTGGCCCTGACAGGCAAGGTCGAAGCCTGTCTTCTTTATGATCTAAATTGTGTCGGTGGAGACGTAAAAAGACTTTTTTTTTTTTATGATACTAATTTTTTTTATGATACTCATATTTTATCTGTTTCTTTGAATTTTTCAGGAATGTGAAGCTCGCGGTGAAGACTATGACAGAGTGAAGATGCTGGAAATTGGTGCTGACGAGTCAGAGAGGTGGGACAGGAAGAAGAAGAAGAAAAATCCTGACCAAGGTTTTGCAGGTAAGTTAAGTAACATGTTGCACAGAAAAGGGAAAAATCAAATTCACTTTTGCTAGTTGCTGCGCATTTATAGATGGGGGTTTTTTGGGGTGGGAGTACAAAGATAGCTATTACTGTTAAAATGTAATTATGAGAAAGAGATGATGTGTCTCCTTTTATTTGTTCATTTGACTGTCTTTATGTTGTGTAAGCATTTGTTTTATTTAACTCTGTCTTTCAGTTTTATTTCCCACTCTGTCATCAACAATAAACAATAGTTTGCTTACACTTTGTACTTTAACTTGTTGTTTAATTTAAAAATCAAATAGTGAGATGTTTTGGGGTTGTTGTTTTTTTCTAATTTTAACTCTGAGTGTGAGGTTCTTGGTTCTTATATCTTAGGGATCGTTTGTTCAACGTTTAGAGCATGTGCAGCAATTTCCGTCCCGAGGTATGGTCAAAGCATTTATGAATGGGTCCATTGTAATGAGTATACCTGTACCTTTCTGAGGCTAACAATTTAGGAAGTAAAGGAATAAAAATGAAAGTGTTGAAGGGAAAGAAGTTGCCTACCATATATAATGACCTCAGAAGACAAAAGCTGTAATGTCAGGTAAAATCAAGGACTACTGCCGTTCTTATGTAAGACTGTAACTGTAAAATGTATTATGAGTGAGTGACTACAGCTGTTTCTGATTTAAAATCTAGTATTAATGGACAAAATGGATCAAGCCTAACAGTAGGTTTAAAGGAACCAAGATGGAAATTGGAAATAGTGACTCAATATCATTTTCCACCTGCCTTCTTCAAATCCCTTTGATTTTTTATGTTTTTTTACAGATTATGAACAAGCGACCTTCAGACAGTACCAACAGCTGACGAAGCAGATCAAGAAGGACTCACAGGAATATGACAGAGAGAAAGACAAGTTGTAAGTATTGACACGCAATTCTGATTATTGATTGAAAAATGTTTTGCTGGGTTTTTTTTAGCATGCTTTGCCCAATCAGATATTATTTATTGCTGACCATTTGTCTTTGTATGTTTGCGGGTTGGTCAATTTATTATGCTATGGTGTCTTTCTTTTGGCCCTTGCAAGAGGAATTTATGGCATAGAATTTCGTCCTTCAGTATCTGATTAATAATAATAATAATAAATAGCATTTGTATAGCGCATATCCCCGCTCAACAGCAGGCTCTATGCGCTTTACACTATATTATTACCCCAGCAGACCATAGAACATTCCGAAACATTCTCAGCTTTCCAGGAAGCATACAGTGCAAGCAGCTGATTAAGCGCTCAAACACTAACAAACGGACAAGATCTTTCGCTGTCTATAGCCGGGTACCCATTCCCACCTGGGTGAAGTGAGGAAAATTCGTGTAAAGTGCCTTTCCCAAGGACACAACGTCGGGCCCCTGATGGGATTCGAACGCACGACCTTACGGTTGCGAGTCCGAGAGCCTAACCACTAATTCTTATTTTGTAGAAAATGTAAATCGCTGGGGTCATTTCATGATGTCGAAGTCATTTCTAGGGGTTTTAAGATAAAAAGGTTATTTGAATAAAGACAAAAAGGGACATCTTATAGTATAGTTTGGTTCTGTTTCGCAATTTCCTTCCTAGTTTATGATTGGAAAATAAGAGCCCAAGTCATGATTCTCGTTTGCGTGATCTCTTTTTCTTTAAATTTCTCAAAACTTCAAAAAATGACTTAACCCTTTCGCTTTTAGCAGGCTTGGCCAGCTGTGGCCCCCCCATCCTTAAGACAAGGGCATCAACTCCACGAAAATTGAAGGGGTACTTTACTAAAAAAAATTGTATAAAATCACAAACACAACCAAAAATGATGAAAATAGTATTTTCTGAAAGGAAAATGAATGAGCTAAATTACTAGTACAAAATTATAAGTGGAATAGAAGAGTTTGAAATGATATGAGAGGTCTTTCTGAGATGCGTGTCTTGGATTCCGAGTCTAGATCTAGACCTCGTATACATTTCTTCAACTCACAAAGTTTCTGCCACTGACAAAGAGGTAATCCACACAAAAGAAATACAACACATTCACAGAGATTGAAGCCTCTGGTGGAAACTTGAAAGCACCTAAAAGACTTTTCTTTGGGTGTTTTTATTTTGTTTTTGCCATACTCATATCGGGCAGCTTTGCGCCCATGCATCCTAGAGACATGATGGCGTGTTTACAACTAAAATCTCCTCCGACTTTTGTTCCCGCTCAAAAAGTGACTCTTTGTGCTAGGGAAACAAGAAAAACACCATAGTAAACCGGAACTCTTCCTCTATAAAGATAGCTAAGTGAAACTTCTGATGATAGTAAAAGTAGAAGCCTCCCGCAGCAACGAAACAAACACCCCCGTGGCGGGCGCATTCGGGTGCTATAGGGATGAGCGGGGGTCACCGGCACGGGCGCTGTAAGTGCAAAACGGTTAAGCACTTGTGGAATGATGCTAACAAAATTTTTATTCTCCAAGAATACTTTGTAAACTTTCAGGCAGGGCATTTGCGTGTTTCTCATGAGTCTGTGCCGGAATTGTTGTTATGTGTGATGAGGTTGTCATTTCTGTTGAAGCTGGTTCGACTTTCTAACACTTCGCTTTTTCTGTGTTATGTGTTCTGGCATTGAAACAGCATTTTAGACCAACAGTCTAAAAATCTTAGTTCTGAATAAGGTGTTAGAGTCCAGCTATGTGGGCCTTCTTTTCTCTAAGACTTTGACTAAAAGAAAATATATTCTTTTTTTACAGGGGAGAGGACTTTTATGCTTCTGCCAACACCTTGGGTCTTCACCAACGAAAAGACTCTGAAGACGCAATCGATAGAATGGTTGGAGATCTTGAAAAACAGTAAGTTTGGGTTTTTTTAGATCCTTTTTATTTCTGTTCTTAGTCTGTGCTAGTCATTAGCGTAATAAATCTTTTACCCGTCTGTAAAAGTATTGTGTTTTATGTCCCCATCAAAATGACTTGTTACAACATGGTGGAATCGGACGCTTGTCAAATTTTTGGGCATATTGAGTTATATATTAGTATGATTTTAAAAACCTGTCCATTTGCCTTGCTTTTAATAAACGAACTACTCATATGAATAGCAGTCGAGAATTGATAATGTGCTCATTACCATTTATTGTTTTGTCTTTGCTCTCTAGGATTGAAAAGCGCTCCAAGTACAGCCGACGCAGAACGTTTGACGAGGAGGCCGATATTGATTACATCAATGAGCGCAACATGAAGTTCAACCAAAAGCTGGAGCGCTTTTACGGGAAATACACCGCGGAGATCAAGCAGAACTTGGAGAGAGGAACTGCAGTCTAAGGCCTTCACGGCCGCTGGGGGAACTTTGAGGGGTTGGATGCGGTTATTTCATTAATCTCATTATAAAAATATTGCCTAAGTTATTTTTTGTTGGTTTGGAGTTTTTGGTTCTGAAATGAAGAGCAGAACCAGCTTGGTAATATAGTTCACTTGGACAAAAGAATAATCCCCCAAAAAATCAACTTGGTGTACCAAAATTCAAGTGTAATTATTCGAAAGAGAGTTATTTCTCATTTTCTCAAAATGGCTAAAAATGACTACGGCGTTTATCTTATGAGCGTGATGATTTTTATGTTAGATTGTATGTGAGCATAACAAAATATGCAGAGAGCAGGAAAGAGAGAAAGTGGAGGCTCAAAGGATAGTGTTGGAGTGAGAGAGGGAGTGGGAGAAAAAGAGAGAGTGAGACTATGTTCTGAAAATTTGACCAGGAGCCAGAGTATAAGGTCTTGTGTTTTAGGAATTATGCACTGGGGATTTTGTCTGTCTTGTACATATGAGTTTCAATAAAGATGTCTTAGTCCTACAACCGAATTGTTAAATATTTTGTATAATTAGCTTGACTTGTTCAACAGCTGGTTTGTTTGTTTGTTTGTTTTTTATGAGATACATCTTTATTGTCCAGATCTGGCACATTGGTTTGGTGTTTCACGAGGTACACACACACGCGCGCGCACACATACATTCACACGCACGTGCACACCCATACACACTCACACTCTTCCTTCACACATCCTCTCTTCCATGCATATCAATGCGCATAATCATAATACTATAATAGTATGCTTGCGCTCACAAACAGGTTCACGGGCATATATGCATAATATAAATAAAGGTTTTACGGCGCTCACAACTGCATAAGGTCATATGTGCGCCAAGGGGTGGATGTCAACAGAGAAGTCTATAAAGGGAATCAGACTTACTGTGCTCATCTCTCTAGTTTCAACAGGACAAAGTTTGCTTCGACTATCAAGGCACCCCGGAAATAACGGGTCACAAGAGTGTGACAAACATACAAAAGAAGTAGAGGAAAAATGACGATAGTAAGGATTAGGAAAGAAAAAGCAGCAGTTTCCTGTTGCAATTCAGGCACAGTTATGAGCTTGACATTGATGAATCAGCCCATTTACAATTACAATTCTACTGTTCATATGAACATGGTTAATATCCCCCCTTTGGGAAAGGCCTAAAGACACTTCAGTCAGTAGCACCGCCCTGGGGGGAGCAATAATAGTTGTTGTAAAGTGCATAGAGCATGCTGTAGAGCATAGATTTACACAATAGAAAAATGCAAAACTATTGTCATTACTTTTAGCTTGTCTGCTCACTCAAAAAGTCGCAATGGGCTGACAGCTGAGTGTTTTAACTTGTATAGACAACAGTTTCTGTCATATATTCTAAATACTAAAATCTATAAACATGAAAAAAGACAAAGCATTCTTGTGTTGATGATTTGTTTATTTTTTTGAGCACATATTAATTCAAATGTAACATTCAAGTTGAAACAGTTGTTAAATTTGAAGAATTGGGTACTGGAACGACAACAAGGTTCTTCTTAAAATTCATGACAATGGCAACATTCCTTAACTGATTCCGTCCATTCGGCCGCTGACAGCGGCTCTGAATTTTTCCGCTGCCTCCATTCGGCCGCCGTGAGCGGCTCAACGAAATCCGAAGCAAAGGTGCACTTTTTAACTTAGTTCCTACTTTTTAAGTTGTCGAAAGGAAGTAGAACTTGTAAACAAACCTGACCTCAATCTCTGAGCGCCAATATCGATCGAAACTCCGTGAAATTCTTGCAAAAATAGTTGTTTTGTTGTCGCGATGTAGGCTAGATCTAAGGGTAAACAACACGGAGCCTGGTATAATAAAAAGGCTCTTCAAAGAAAGATATTCAACTAAATTTGTGAAATTCTTGCATAAATGTGTGCTAGGGTGATATCGCTACAATGTTGTATTGATTTCTATGGATTATAAGGACTTGTAGAGCTGAGAAAATGCGGTAAGTCGAAATTTTAGAAGAGCTGTTGCGCAATTTTTTTTTCATTCGTTTTTGTCAGAAGGAAAATGCAATACAAACAGATTATAGGTCATTGTTATTGATATAAACAAATTCTTCTATTTATTCCCATCAGTTTGGTATATGACAATACATATTAGAGTAACTTAGAGCTTCACAGTAATGCATTAAATAGATGCACCCCAGGTCTAAAACGGAACAGGGAAAAATAATTCTGTCCAGAGCCTGAAAAAATCATGGACGGAATCAGTTAAGATATGATTAAGCCTGTCTTTGAATCTGTGCCTAAATCACCAGATGCCACAGAGTGTGAGTTGAAGTTGAATAGAATAATGAGCCTGGTGTGTAAGAGAGATTTTACAAAAAACTTTACTAGCACACTTATGGAAAGAATGATAAAAGGCTTACAATACTAAAACTAGAGTGAAAAAATAAGGTGTGGAAACAGGAACGTATAATTCTGAGAAGAGGCATCGAAATTCTAAATACCTTTATAACCTCCATGTTCTTCACAAGAATTAAGAATATCCGCCCAAGAGTTGGTTACATATCTATACTTTCATCATTTGTGAGGCATCATGGTGAAATTAGGCCCTCGTCAAAACAACGAAATCAAAGAAAGCAGCTTTTTTCTGGCCGATGGGCAATTTTTTTTCTACTAATTTTCTTTTTTTAGCTCAACACCTTTTATAACATGTCCCCCTTTTGTGACCCAATTAGTTTCGATAGGTCAAAAATTACATAAATAATGAAAGAGGATATAAATCATTTTGCAGCCCTAGGATAGGATTAAACCATCTATAGTGAGGGGGGGGGGGGTGTCTTGAAAATACATGTCGTTTTGAGCTTGCTATTCTTGAGCTGAACTTGGAGCCTTGCCGTTACACCACTGACATTGAGTTGTTCTCGAGTAGTACAAAATATCATTCACTGCAAGCTTGAGTAAAAATATCAATTCATTAGAAACTTATCAACCCTATGAAGCCTTCATCCTTTTATGCACACAGCAGTGTAGGGAGATTTATTTCACTCTTATATAGTCTTGACAGCTGTGAGGCACAAGGACTGGTAACCTCAAAAGCTGAACATAATCATGATCATTCAAATAAGAAGAAGTAAAAGACACAAATTATGCCTAACTAGGCACTACCCACTACAAATTCCTAATAAGAAAATACAAATACAATAAATGAAATGGAAACAAGAAGAAAATAAAATTCTGTATTATTACAAGTTTGTACATCTGTGTTGATGATGAGTTTACATGGAAAAATAACACAACACAACAATGTATTGTAAATGGCAAAGACATAGGATCATCATTCTCACCAACAACAGGGTGGAGTTTGAAGTGTGGATACAGTGGGGGGGGGGGGTCAGGTCTGAGTTTTTTCTTCAGCTGCCTGGACATTCGGAACTAGTGCGTGTGTTCTAGTTCTAGTATTCTGAAGGAAGGAAGGGGGGGGGTGGGGTGAACACCTGTCCAGTTGGATTCCCATGTGAGGAGTGGGGAGAGTTTTTATCTTGTATCTCGATCTTTCTGCATGGACATCGTATCCCTCTTTAAGTCTGGGTCAAAGCCAGCCTCCTTTTAATGATAATGATCTAAATTGTGTCGATGTGGAAACTGAAAATACTTCCGCTGTAAAAAGGGGGGGGGGGGGCATTCTACTATTTCAACAACAAAACAAAAATTAACAGCTTATCATAGATAAAAACAAGCCTTGCATTTTGTTAACTTTGAAGACATGCATAATCAAAAATACAAGATAAAACAGTTGTATGAATCACTATTTTTCTTTTACCAAAACAACTTAGATCTATGCCTTTCGGAGCAAGAGCAAAATCTCATCCCAATTCTAGATTAATGAGTGTTAAAAGTAAAAGACATCAAACAAACTTTAAATACTACCACAGGCCTCATAGTCATATTTACACCTGACAAGGTTTGGACTTTGGTCTCTGTCTTCCCGTCGATTAAATATCATTGACAGAACAGCACTGTTGATAACTGTAGACATATCATTTTACTCGAGCACAAAAAAAAACTTTATAAATAATGTATGCACACAATAGTTTCCGTAGATTTTTCTTTTCTTTTCATTAGATAGGGAAATTTCATATTCTCATCATTCCAAAACACAGAGTGAACTAAATATTTCTGAACGATTAATGCTGAAAACTAAAGTGAATATGAATATAATCGAGATACATATACTACTAAAAAGACAAACATTTCATCACCATTTCAGATGTTTTACTACTCATCAACTCGCTTGTGATACATTTTTACATTGTATTCAGTACATAACATCCACGCAAAGCGGTTTATTTGTCTACAAAGTTCTAATCATTGTAGGCGTGAAACATGACTACAGCTCCTCCTCCTCTTCCTCCTCAAGATCCTTCTCAAAGTCCATCTACTTATAAAATGGTTCTAGTTAGAACCAGATAGGAGATCTGTTGGGCAGGATCACAAAAGCCTTTGAATCTTCCTGTTCCCCTTCAGCTCTCCTTCTCTCTCACTCTTTCCAGTGTGTGGGAAGTGTTCCGTTTCGATAGCCATCAGCCACTCCTGAACAGAGGCCAGAGGAGTACGTAGATTGAGCGTAGGTAAACCCCAACCCTCCACCCCCTTATCCGGCTTCTCCAGCCGACTTGTCGGCCCAATTTACGCCACACATTGAGAATGGTTTGAGGGCGCTACTGGTAGACCCTATTCTTTACTTCTCACCTGTTGTTTCTGTCTATCTTACTTTTTCCCAGCACTAAAGGACCATTATTCAAAATTATTGTATCCATGTGCTTCTCTTTACTCATACTCAAAATCATATGCCAACCAGTGTAATTATATAGGCCCTCTACTCAACATATCATGTCCTTGTACGATACCAACCATCAAGATCCTGCCCAGTTTTTTTTAGTTTAAGTTGCATTGGTGACAATAATTTTTCCTTGCTGGAAGTTGCGCAGCTCACTGGCAACGACTTCACCAATATGGTCTGTTTGACGAATCTGTGGAGAGATGTAAAACATTGTCATATTACTTTACAGAATTGATGTTGATGAATGATTTCTATCCAGACATTGCCTACTTGACAGCATCAGAACAAACCATTCATACTTTTATATACATAAAAAGCATTTTGTACAATAACTTAACTGCTATAAACACCCCCCACCCCTACCCAATCAGACACTGTGCATTTGTGAGTGAAGTAAACTATCTGTTGATTATGTCACCTACTTCATCTCATAGTAACAGCCAAGACAACCACCAAAAATGTCTAGACCAAAAGTGTGTTGGAGGAGGGGAGAGGAAGTGGAAATCATGCTAGAGTCATAAAAGTTAACAAATAATCAGGTTGTACAAGATTTTTCATCAGGACAGATCTATGTGTAGAAAAGAAGAGGAAACTGAATAGGGTACAAGTAAGCTGAAAATGTAAATGATAAGTTCTCAAGGAGAGTCAGCTGGGTGATTTTAGAACAGCAGGAATATTTCCAATTTTAAAATTAAAAGACAAGTTGACATAATTATCAGTGCTAATCTAATCAGTGCTGTAGCAGTGCACCAGTGATACATCAGGAAAGTACATTTATAATGCTGGAACTCTATATATCTGAAATATCTGTCATATTTTTTTGTTTTTTTTAAATTATGCATGTCATAGTGCTACGGAGCTTTAGAGCTTTTGTGTGTGTTTGTATTTTGTAAGCGCCACTGAGCACTTTTTGTGGATTCTGGCACGTTATAAATTCATTTATAATTATTATTATTATTTTTATTTTCTTCCCTACTGTTTATGTCACACATTTTGTGTCTTATAAAGAAAAATTTTACTCATTCTTAAATTGATATTTTAAAATCTCAGTTACAAACTTATAGTGCACTATAATTAATCGCTAACTTACATAATCTATTACAAACAAAATCACAGATCATTCTAATTCAGTTTTATTGCAGTTACTGTGAGTCACTTTGAGCATAGATTCCTCCTATTCAGACATGAGTTTCAAAGTATTCCAAAGCATCACTTACCTTGCCAAGAATTGTCAAATATCTATTCAAGGACTGGCTGACATCCGTCGTCCTGTACAAAAAGAGAGAAAAAAAAGCAGAAACATTATTATCTTTAAAAAGCAGGAGAGAGCTACACAAGGTGTAAACCAAAATATAAACCTTTCGATTCCTACAAACAACAACTACTAACAAACTAAAAATACTTTTAAAAAAGACAGATAGGCTTCGAAAAATTAGAAGAACTGAATACTTCTTCCGCCCTCCACCCCCAGGACTGTTTACCAACTTAACAAAGGCATTGTAGGATAGGCTCTTTTTCTTTGGTAAAAGCATAGTCACCAGTGTGCTTCAGATGTACTTGCAAGCATATATGGTTCTTCAACACTGAGATTTGAAGCACAATGAGCAAAAGAGAGGGGCAAAAATTGCATTTAACCACAGAGCCAGATTTAAGACCCAACATACAGTATTGGAGAGTAAACAATCGCACCAGGAACATTTTTTTTTTCATTCTTTTGCATTCAGTAAATACCCAAAAAGTAAAAAGCCACTCTTCAGCTTCCAGAAATCATTGATGCATCACATCTTTTCTTCTATCTCACATATGAAGGAATACGGTGGAGTCAGTTTGTGATTAACTTCTAAATTAAATGCCACAGTTCTGGGTTTATTTTAATCATGTTTACTTTATTTTTCCTTTTATTTAGGAATATTTGAAAAGGGAATGGAGGCACAAGGGGAGAATAGATTTTGATTACATGTTTCCCTCACCATCATGCTGTAAACTCAATTAACTATTCAATCCAAATTCATGAAATTTTACCAACGTTTTCTTAAGCCATCTTTACAGAATCAAGCTGGCAACCCTGAGAAATGAGCACATCTCCACAATATTTTCATCTCTATTCTAAATGGTGCAGGGATAAAAATCAGTTGTGGTCTGCCAACATCACTCAATAGGACCGATCACTGCATGGTCAGTGGTTGGCGGGTGCTCTGGTGTGGTCTGCTCCTTCTTTTCTATCAAACATCTATCCTCCTTATCTATCTTTCATTTTTCGTGTTTCTTACTCTCATGACCCTAGTGTGTTGCAAGTACCGTAAAAATTCTTACTAAAACTCAAACAACATATATATCCGTCAATCTCATTTCGTCAGCTTGTGTCATTCCACAAGTGCTCAAGTCACTTTTCGAAGTTTGGAGAAAACTAAAGAAAAACAGATCATCCAAAATCAAAACGATAACACGGTCACTTGTGATTTTCCTCTTAAAAACTAAAAGGAAACTTTTTTTTAAAAATGAAACTAGAGTTGATTTGCTATTAACTTGCTCTTTTTCTCTGGTCTACCCACCTGTTCTTCTTTACAGGTCCCAACAGATAATTTGAACTTCGGATGAGTTGATCTTTTTTTTTCTCACTCCCCCGACGACATAACTCATCTGTAGTCGACTGTAATTGTAAGTTAAGTTGCCACGTAATGTCTTTATTCAAATAACCGCATTACCTGAACCAACCCTCACCCCCCTCCACCCCAGACGTTGATTCGGGCAATGGTGTAATGACACTGGCAATAATATATATGACAAGTTACACAACTTACAACTTTTGTTTCAACAAGTCGTTGATTTCATTCTGAAGAGCTCTTGTCTTTGACAACAGGCTTACACCAGTGATCTTCTTGTTATAAATGTCAAACAATTCTTTTGCAGATTGTTGAATCAAGTTGTCCACTCTTGTCCTCATGTTGCTGGCTGGAGATAAAAATATAAAAATACCCAGGCCATGTTCATCATCAAACACCAAGAGAATCTTAATTCTATTTTTTTTTATTATAGTAGAGGGTTTTACGGCGCTCGCAACTGCATAAGGTCATATGAGCGCCAAGGGGTGGGTGTCAACAGAGACGTCTTTACAGGGAATCAGACTTACTCTGCTCACCTCTCTAGCTTCAACAGCACAAGGTCTGCCTCAACTATCAAGGCACCCCGGAAATAGCAGGTCACAAGAGAGGGACAAACATACAAAAGAAGTAGAGGAAAAAGACAATATTAAGGATTAGGAAAAAAAAAGCAGCAGTTCCCTGTTGTAGATCAGGCACAGTTATGAGCGTGACATGAATTAGCCCATTTACAATTCTACTGTGCTTGAACGAGAAATGTCCCCCCTTTGGGAATGGCCTAAAGACACTACAGTCAGTGGCACTGCCCTGGGGGGGGAATCCTAATTCCAATCTGAGTTACAGATACAGTAGAACACAAAGAGAGAAAGGTGCAATTAAATACTCTCTAAACATCTTGAGGAATACTCAATTTGTAGCTAATTTTTTTTTAGGTTAAATTACTTTAACTCTATCCACCCACGCAGCGGGCAGAGCGCACAACACTTATCCCCACAGACCAGGATACAGATGCGGTACATGCTATATCACACCGTTGCCAATCAGCGTCCCTTGGGGAAAAAGGTACGGCTTCTTAGCGTCGCGGCCGCAAAGTTTTCAGACAACGTTGTAAATGGTACAATAAGAAAATGCTGCCAAAAGATGGTCACTGTTACCACACCATTGATTTTTCAACATGTCGTTGATAAGACACAGTCAGAAACACGAAATTCAAAATTGACCTGAGAGGGAAAGAGGTACGTGTACGTAGTTCTTTAAAAAAAACGTCATTAATATATAATATATATATATATATTATAAAATATAATGTTTTGCCATCTTGAACAATCCAGCTTCCAAATTACAGAAAGGCTACACAAAACCATTGTAATTTAGAAAATGACAATGCAATTCAAAATCTTTCGAAACACCCAAGTACAAATATAAAAGTCAGACGAACACATGGTAAAGTATATTTTCAAAGGAGCATCACAACTGACATAAGGTAAAAATATCATTTAGTTTCATAATGTCAGTTTGCACAAAATTAGCTAAATTCATCAGCGTCATATCTCTCAAAAATAAGCAATACAGACACATGTGCACCTTTAAAAAAAACTGCACCTAGAATAAAAGGGCACAAGCAAGATAGCCAGTAATTTGGCAATAATTGAGATCTCTCTCAAGCTGTAGGCTACTAATTTGACAGCCTGTAAAGCAATAGCTCTTGTAAAGTTGAGAGCTCCCTTATATTTAAAAGACATGAACACAAAACAAACGACATGTACCTTCATCTGCCTGTTGCCTATCGCCAGTGACAGGCTTCACATTGGTCCACACCCTGATGGCTTCGGTTCCTAAAAGTAAAAGAAACAAGAGTCTGTTACGGTTGAAGAGAGAACAAAATTTGAAAGAGGAAAGGCAAAAGAATTGTTTTTGCGTAGGAGATGATTGCTTTCTCAGCTCTTTACTACTCCACACTTAGCCAATAAAGCTTTTTCAACAATAGTAACATTGGAATGCAGAAACATACGTGCAAAAGAAAAAAATTTTAATCAACAGGATGTATTTGGTGGCCTAACCCAGTGAAAGGAAATGTTTACGGAAGAGAAAAATACAGGCCTCTGTTGGGATCAGCCTAAAAGTTCTTTCTCTCAACACAATAGGTAAAGGAGCACACCACAGATGGTGGTCTCTTTGGACTGTTAAAAACAATATCTATAAACTTCAGTACTTGCAGTGCAGCTGTGAGAAACTTGAGAAAAAATGTGAATGGTAATTGAGTGGTTGTTTAGTTTATTTTAGTTATCCAACCTCTAAAATAATTTGAAAAGACAGGAAAAGGTCAATAAAGCACTCAGCTGTGGGGGTTAAGAAGTGAACCAAAAAAAAAGTACACCTTATCACCCTGACATTATGGTCGTGTCTCTCAGCTTTAGCTTACCATTGAGGTCCACATAGCAAATCTGCACTTGGAAAGGAAACTCTTCCGTAACACTTGCTCGAGAATCATCCACTTTGTCTGTGGGCACAGGCTCCTCTTTTTGCTCTGCAAAAACGGTAAAGATAAAAATTAATTCCAAACTCATTGTCAACCCTACAACTTGGGGTATAATTCTAGCTTACATGTGACGTCTCTCCAACAAAAGTCTATAAAATTTTCCCAAAGTTGACTTGTCATTGTTATCTTATTTTGGTTTAAGATTCGTATTTTCTTTTCTTTTTGGAACTTGGAAATGCTAAATGAGGTGTTGGGGAAAAAAGTCCTACTACAAAAAAGCTTACTGAACTAAGGAACCGTCATGTAAAAAGTTTTTGCAAATACCATTAGATCGAACAACTGCAAAATTTGCTTTTTTTTTCGCAAAAAAGTATTCTACAAAGCACATTTCATATCCTGGTTAGAAATCTATTTTCAAATAAATAACCAAGAATGGACCTTTTTAACAGAATGAATATCGCATAATTCTAAGCCCTCCCTTTAATCAATCAGTTTTTTCTTTCTCCTTAAAAACTGACTGAATGTCACTTATCCGATCTTATCACCACGGCAACAGTAAACATTAAAAGGGCACTTATGAAGACTTTTTCTATGCCAAGTGATATTATGGAAGCCTGAATAACAATAACAAGTATAAACTTTAACACAAAATATATAAATTACCTTTCGTTTCCTCCTGATTGGAGGAAGAATCATCCCCGTTTGTGGTCGGGGCTGGAGTGGGTTCCTCAGACCCACGTTTTCTCTTAGTACCAGGAGAATTCGCGGCATCCGGATCCTCCCTTTCAGCAAGACGAGCGACTTCTTCATCTGTTAGTTCTCTTATTTTCTCTGTCGTTAGGTTCGATTGGGAAGTCTCCGAGCTGTTCCTTTCCCCAGAATCTGCTGGCTGCTCTTTCTCATCCGTTACAGGTTCGCAAATTGAAGAAAATTTATCTGAAGTCTCTTCCCCAGTTTGATCCTGTTCCTTTTTTTCCTTCCGCTCCTGTTTGCTTTTTTCATCTTTTCGAAAACCGAAAGTAAACACCTGACTCATTTCATCGTGCAAAATCCCAACAAGATGATAGTGGTTGCTCTTTGGTTCCACTTTGCTGTCTGAGCTTGCAATGTATCTGAAGAAACATAATTCAAACCCACTTTGATATATCATAACCCTTCCGCCATAATTCCTTTACACACACTGGACTTGTCATCTTCACAGAAAAAGTACTCATAACTAGGTATAACTGTATAGATTCATATAAATGAGGATATTTGAATAAACATAGGATGAAATCAGCTGACAATAAAATTTCATTTCAAAATTTGTATGAGCAAAATAAAAGTTTTTCAAAAATGCACCTGCCACTTTAAAGAAGAAGGCTCACTTTTAAAAAGTTTTGAGTGCATGCTCATAAAGTTTAGAAGGTCAAAACTCAACACATGCAAGAAAAAATGAGGTAAATAATAATAATAAAGTAGATCATTTCTATAGCGCCCACTCCCATGTGAACACAGCTCTAACTAATAAATAAGTTTAAAGTAAAGGTCTCACCCCACAACTACATCACATACATGATGATTGATCCGAGATCATTCTTAAAGCGTTATTATTTTAAAAGATCTTACCTGTGACTACTTCGAATATGGCTAACTACATGGCAGGGTAACTTATATTAGTTGTCTAAAACAGCTACATAAGATGCTTTAGAATTGCATAAAAAGTACATTTGTTACATTCTTGGTACACAAATGATCAAACTTTAATACATTACAGACCTCAATGGTGAAAAGGTTAAAAGGCTTATACAGTAAGGGCTACTCCAAGTTTCCTATAATACAATAAGTGGAACCGACAGTACGGTACTCAAAAAAAAAAATCCAAGGCAAAGAGGAAAATTACTCACAGCTGTTTGTGCACGACAAACTTCACATAAGCATCTGTCGCCATAGTCTTCCTTCTGAGCTCGTCTCCGATGGGCAGCTCCAGTTCATCAGGCTTGATCAAGACCAACTGAAATGCGTAACATTATAATTGAAAACATCTCTATTTAATGGTTAACAATTATGTTTCTCATGATTGCAACTAGTGACTCCCCCTTGTCTTTCAAATCCAGCCACTCATGTAAGCCAATCTGTTACTGATCTTTTTCTTCCTTTTTCTTCAGGACTCCTCAAAGACAGACTATCTACAATGTACAAGTGTTAACCCTATCCGTACGCCCTGGGGTCATTTTGTACCCCCGGGGTTGAATTCTTCACATTTTAGAATACTTTTAGTAGCCTACGAAGATCTCTTTGAAACTTTCAGTATTTCTCAGAAAATCGTTTTGACAGACTGCTATGCAAAGCGTACAGATCGGATTAACGAGTAGATTTCCTCTTTATCTTTGTTAAATGGTGACACTGAGGTCCCCACGTCGTATGGATACGATAGTAAAACACGACGTATGGATAGGGTTAAGTTATACTATGATTATGATGAAAACACCGCAATAGATCCACTTCTACCAACCACTGCTACAAATTTACGAGGGCAACTGACATGAAAAAGTAAGAAATGATGAACAATTTGCGAAGAGAAGACAAAAAACCTGTTAAGTAACAGACCTTCAAGGCACAAGTAGGGATGAGAAAGGAATTGGTTTGTCAAAGACAGTATTATATACATATTTTGCTGAGCAAAACTGAAACAAAAATAACCATAGAGCATAGAGCTTTACATATATAAAACAAAGACAAGGTGGAGACCTTCTACAGTCAACCACTGATAAATACATCACAGCAAAGAAATAATAATCAGAGACATAAAATTTCCCCTAAGCTCCACCCCACAAAGGTACCAGTTTCAGAAATCTTTCTGTTTTTATCGAAATAACTGGTTGACCGTGCAAGCCTCGGTTGAGAAAGTATCTGTCTTCAGTTACAAGAACACAGACAAGAACAACTCACTGCCAAACCTCAGGATTGAATTCTCTGCATCATGATTGTTGTTGAAAATAAAAGATTTACGCCCCCCCACCCCCACCCCCACCCCCCCTCACACCCCCCGTAAACACAATCTATATCATTTAGGAGGCAGCTCTCCATATCAACAGGAAGGAGAAAAAAACAAAGCAAAGCTCTTTAGGACTCTCCACTAACAACCACCCCACCCCCTCCCCCCAAGGCCAAACAGACAGCGTCCATTAAGATATTACCATTACCCACAAAAAGACACAGAGTATACAAGTAAACTATATATGAAAATTAGGATTTAAGAGTCGGAAGGGTGAAGTTTTCTAGTTTTTTTATACTCCAACAAGTTAAGCTTTATCAAACTTTACATTACAGAAAGTAGAAAGTAACTATTTTCAGCCAGCAACAAAAAAACTCACAGTTCCTCCAGTTTCAACAGGAAGCTCTCCAAGCGCCTTCGCTATGCCACACTTGTCAAAGCTGATGATTGACACAGAAATTCTGAAAACCAAAAGCAGTAGTAAAAAATATATGAGATGTGAAAAACATCTATATCAGAAGTTTAAACAAAGTGTAAAGAAGAAAATTGAGCAAAAATTTGAATGTATTCTTAATCATACAAAGGCACACAAAGAATTGAAGTTCACATCTTATAATGTATTCTTAATCATACAAAGGCACACAAAGAATTGAAGTTCACATCTTAAATTGGGAACTTCATTTTATTCCTTTTTCAACAATGTGTGTTGCCAGTTTAAAGGACTTGCTTTAGAGGGGTGTGGGAATGGGAAAAAGATGGGAGTGCATAAACTTGAAATAGCTAGAGTCAAGAATACAGAGATCACAAAAAACATAGCACACAGAACAGTGTGCCAATCATTTCTCAAAGCAAATTATCACCAAAAAATGACCAAATCAAAATCTTAGAGTCTTATAAAGGATGACCAACAGGAGTGACAGCACATTGTTTGTTCCATTAAATTTAATTTGTTGGTTATGAATTCATTTTTCACAATTTAACCCTATCCGTACGCCTGGGGTCATTTTGTACCCCAGGGGTCGTTTTCTTCACATTTTAGAATAATTCTAGTGCGAAAATCTCTTTGAAACTTTCAGTATTTCTCGAAAAATCATTTTGACAGACTGCTATGCAAAGTGTATACAGATCAGATTTTAATGAGTAAATTTCCTCTTTGGAAAGTGGGGGCACAGAGTTCCCCATGTTATATGGATACGATAATAAAACACGACGTACGGATAGGGTTAAAAAAGAAAAGGACAGATGTTTGTTTCTGCCAGTGATAGCTGACCCGTACCAGCAGAAGGAGAGAGTAAAAAGAAAAGAAAAAGAAAAACCTACCCTTGTGTTTTGCAATATGCTGACACTGGAGAGTAGAAGGACTCCAACTCCTTCTCAGAGTTACTTTCCAAATTGCCCAGGCCAACATTGGCATACCCATCGGTACACAGTATGATCTTTGAAGTTTTGCTTTTGCTTGCCATTGCCATGGCAACCACCAGAGCTGGCCCCAGAGCTGTGCGTCCATCCTCTTCCATCCTAGACAATGAAAAAATATTGACTGATTTTAAAAAGTTCCAATCTTTTTTTAACTTAAATAAAAAGAGAAAATTCAAGAGGAACTGGGGAGCATTTTGATACTACCTTATACTGCAGTCTTATTTTCTCTTTCTGCATAAATTCTGTAGTTCTGCTCATTGCAAAGAAATCTAACTAATTGAAATAGCTGAACTTGATTTTATTAAAGTTCCCAGTGAAGTCTACAAAAAAGTTGCCACAATAAAACAGCTTATATCTAGAAAATAAAGAAACAGTACAAAAGGTAAACACCCGGGAAACATTTTTTCAAGTAGAATTTAAAATTTATGTTTATACAACAGCAGTGTTGAAAAATAAAATTTATATTATAATCAACTGACATCAGCTTAGCCTGCAACTGCTGAAGGAGAAGGTGATACCACAACACTCCATATAAATTTTGACATTAAGCTTCATAAACAATGAACAAAAAGTGGTAAAAGTAAAGAATACCCCCCCCCCCCCCCCCCCGCCATGTCTTCATGCATCACACTGATCCCAGCCAGCAGTTTCCTGTTCCTGTAAGACAACGGCAGCAATCCCACTGTGACCCCGACACTGACCCCAAGATCTCCACAATAGATTAGATCAAGCACATTTGAAACAGACCGGCCAACTTTACTTCTACCCCCCCCCCCCCCCCCTCAAATTTATCAGAAACGAACCCCTTCAGAGCCTTGACCAGGTTGTCACAGTTTGATTCCACGTGCCCGAGGGGCTCCTGTTGTTGACCAACGGTCAGCAGCATGTTGTAGTCGAAATAGAACTGCTCCGAGACAACCTCTGGCTTGTGGCTCCCATCCCCAAACACGGTCACCTGGAGGAGAGAAAAACACACTCAAATAAAACAAACCTTTGACACTTTTCACCTATATATCCTTGAATTTGGACAAAAATGGTTTTAACACTTTGCAGTCACACAGCCAGCAGTACACAATACCCCATCTGGTCACCCAGCCAGGAGAGTGACAGCAACGGACTTCTCAGGTCTGTCGCAGAACTTCGTCAAGTGTCCCGAACGGATAATTTTCACCGTTGCATTATTGCGGCAATGGGAAGTGACCAGTAAGTGTTAACCACAACATAATACTTATTTAGTCAACATAATACTTATTTAGTCAACATAATACTTATTTAGTCAACATAATACTTATTTAGTCAATACTTATTTAGTCAACATAATACTTATTTAGTCAACATAATACTTATTTATTCAACATAATACTTATTTAGTCAACATAATACTTATTTAGTCAACATAATACTTATTTAACATAATACTATTTAGTCAACATAAAACTTATTTAACATAATACTTATTTAGTCAACATAATACTTATTTAGTCAACATAATACTTATTTAGTCAATACTTATTTATTCAACATAATACATATTTAATACTTATTTAGTCAACATAATACTTATTTAGTCAACATAATACTTATTTAGTCAACATAATACTTATTTAGTCAACATAATAGCCTACTTATTTAGTCAATACTTATTTAGTCAACATATTACTTATTTAGTCAACATAATACTTATTTATTCAACATAATACTTATTTAGTCAACATAATACTTATTCATTCAACATAATACTTATTTAGTCAACATAATACTTATTTAGTCAACATAATACTTATTTAACATAATACTTATTTAGTCAACATAAAACTTATTTAACATAATACTTATTTAGTCAACATAATACTTATGTAGTCAACATAATACTTATTTAGTCAATACTTATTTAGTCAACATAATACTTATTTAGTCAACATAATACTTATTTAATACTTATTTAGTCAACATAATACTTATTTAGTCAACATAATACTTATTTAGTCAACATAATACTTATTTAGTCAACATAATACTTATTTATTCAACATAATAGGCCTACTTATTTAGTCGTTTTTTTATGCATGCAGTAAGACTTCAAAACATTTTCAGACTTTGTTTCATGCTCTTTTTTCCAGTTGACGTATGCGCAAGGGCTGCTATTAGAAAGTGATGGACTTTTGCATTTTGACATATGATCTTAAAACAGTACAAATGATACAGCTTTGCCTGGGCGGTAGACATAGAGGAAGTAGATTACGCAAGTACTACTTCCCTCCCTTCTGATCTTGACTTCCTTGATATGCTCTAAAGTACAGACATCGTCAGTGCGTTTGGAATCAAAGAAGTTGTAAAGGTGTGTCTGGCTATTTCTTTTTCTTCTCTGCTAGATCTCAGGAGTAGTCAGCTATTGGTTCTTCAACCTGCAGTGTTACTGATTTTTATCATGTACATATGTGACCATTTTTCCTACTTAGTAGAGCCCTGTCAGGCAGCCACATTCCGGTTTCAAAAGTACCATACACATGTTTTTATACCGATTAGAGTATTTCTTGTCTTCATAGAAAGTAAAAGAGTACTGGAAAGGATTACAACATGCACATCTGACAGATAAACAGAACACAGAACAAAACGTAGCATGCATTTTGACTGATTGTCCCTCAATGACTTAATGCCCAAGTTTGTTTATCATAACATACACTATATGTCACATTTTGTCTTTTACATCCAATTTTCTTATTGTCAATTGATAACATTTTGTCTCTCATACCCAAGCTTCTGATCACATCATAACACATGACCCAACAACGATAGGACAACAAAATTTGCTGCTTTGCTATTGGCAGTCCATGGCAATCAGAAGTGAACAAGATTTTTTAAATCCTGGTTCTTACTTCACCATTGAAAGCCACCACACCAACTCTAGTTTTTGGCGCAGTGGCTTTCAGCTTTTCAATCTGGCTTGCTATCCCAGCCTTCATAGCATCAAGACGAGTCTTACTGTCGTCTCGGCTACTGCTTGGTCCAGAGCCTGTGAGAGCCATGTTGCCCATCATGGGAAGTGGGGCTCCACCAGACATCCCCGTAAGCAACTGAAGCAACGGATTCCGTATGAACATTTGAGAGGGCTGAAAGAAAAAGTGACATGAACATGTGAGAGGTTTGAAGCTAAAAGAAAAAGTGACATGAACATGTGAGAGGTTTGAAGCTAAAAGAAAAAGTGACATGAACATGTGAGAGGTCTGAGGCTGAAAGAAAAAGTAACATGAACATTTGAGAGGGCTGAAAGAAAAAGTAACATGAACATGTGAGAGGTCTGAAGTTGAAAGAAAAAGTAACATGAACATTTGAGAGGTCTGAGGCTGGAAGAAAAAGTAACATGAACATTAGAGAGGTCTGAAGTTGAAAGAAAAAGTAACATGAACATTTAAGAGGTCTGAAGATGAAAGAAAAAGTAGTAATGATCTTCAATGCTTAAAGCATATACACATGAATGGAAAGTAGCCCTTTAAATGTTCAGCAAAGTGCTACCTCTTTCGGACTATTCTTTTCTTCATACCACAGTAATCTTCTTATTTCTGTTCTAAGATAGGAAGGGTGATGATCAAAGAATTTCAGAGTCTATCACACTAACAATTTTCAAGAACTGAAGACTTATTTTTTTGTAATTTGACTTAAATGAAGACAGGAAATTCAATAAATTGTTTTCCAATTCTGCTGTAAGTTTCAGGGAAAAATTCTTTGGCTCATACATTTCAAGTAAGTTACATCCACTATGTAGAAAAATATATACCATCTCATTTCCGCCTCGTAGAAAGCATTTCTTTTGAGTTTACATTTACAATGTTGCTGACAATAGACAAATCTGTCCCCGTTGTTTTATGCAAGAAAATTCTTAAATTATACAAACTGAATCCAAAAATGTGAAATTATGCGATTCTGTTAATTTTAACAAAGAATAATAAAGGAAAATAATCAGAAATTATGCAAAAAATGATCAAATTTTGCTAAATTATGCGGGATGCATAAAACCACAGGGACAGACAAATTGAAATACTTAGACTACACAACATTGCGAATCTTTTATGCCCTCATCCACACGAATTTAGATCATTCAAGCCTTGCACTTTTTCGACCCTGCCTGTCAGGATCAACCTGCTCTGAATGGGAAACAGTATCCCAGTAGAAAGATGATGACACTCCACACACAAATATTCCCAAGATTTTCATGCAAAAAACCAAAAGCCTAAAAATTACATATCAGCAGATACAGATACTGGTACTAAACAAAATCAATCACACCTAAAAGGCGGCTTTTCTCTGGCATCATCTAATATGTGAACAACAGAGGCATCTAGTACATCTAGTACAGTATATCAATTTTAAAATTCAGTTTAACTCCTTCTCCAGCGTGTTAACTCGGCCTCATCTTTAAACAGAGTTATACAGAACTGACAGAGCGTTAAGATTGATCTTGATTTTTATTAGAAAGCATCAATGTAAACTACTAACCTCAAATTCTGAGATTATTGTTGTGACATTGCTTATCTGGAACTTGACTGATCTGCAAGTGGTCAAAGATCAAGCCTATGTGGCATTATTTTGTGTGTGTGTGTGTGTGTGTGTGTGTGTGTGTGTGTGTGTGTGTGTGTGTGTGTGTGCGGGTGTATGTGTGTGTGTATGTAGGTGTGTGTGTGTGTGTGTGTGTGTGTGTATGTAGGTGTGAGTGTGTGTGCATGTGTGTGTGTGTGTGTGTGTGTGTGTGTGTGTGTGTGTGTGTGTGTGTGTGTGTGTGTGTGTGTGTGTGTGTGTGTGTGTGTGTGTGTGTATGTATATGTCTGTGATACATTGGAAAGTTTCCATCAGCCAGTAGCAAAGACAGGAAGCCTTACTCCACCTTTAAAAGAATGTTTTATCTATATTATAAAATTTCCATTCAAAACTAGATATAAATAAAATTCTGGCTAGAGTAAGTGCAAGACCTTCAGGGGTGTTCCCATGCTTCCAGAGCTGTCAAGCACAAAGATAACAGTGTTCTCCTCAGAGTCTGAGTCCAGGTTGGGAGGTGACTGTGGATCCTGGCAGTAGATGATGTCATTGCCATTGCTGAAGTCAGGCCATTCTGGGATGGTTCTCTCCTCACCACAAAACCTGCATTTCCAGATCTGTTCATAGATGAGAATTATGAATAGAAAAAAACATGCAAAATCAAGCTTGAATCACAAGATCAAGAGAACAAACTATATTACAATAACGATAAACATTTGTGCTTCCAAAGAATTTTGGGGAAGAAAAGAAGAAAGTTTCAATAAAAATATCTCTTGAAAATGTGGGACAATTCAACCATGTCAACCATTTTCACCTCTGGCCCTATGAGGTAACTATATTTTCAGTGCAGTGTATCTACTACAAAGCTACAAAGGGGTGTTCTGTTCAAGAGGGTGATCCCTTTCATCCGTTACATCTCACTTGAAGTGTTGGTAGAGTAGGTTGCCGCTTACCTGTCTGCCTACGGCAGACTGCCGCCCTCCTAACGGAGGCCAGCCAGAAGAAGAAGAAGAAGTGTTGGTAGCCTAGAGGTAAGTCTGGGCCAGATATTGTGTTCTTGAGAAAAAAAATTTCCATAAATTTTCCTCATTTTACTCATTAAGTGGGAATGGGCACCAAGCTTAGACAGTAAAAGATCTAGTCAGTATGTTAGTGTCGTGTTTGAGCACCCTTTAAAAAATGTCAGTTTGCACAGACTGTTGCTTGAAAGCTGAGAATGTTCCAGAACATTATAGTATCAGCTTCGGTAATATATGATCCATTTGAGAAATATGTTCTGAAAGCAAAGATAGAAGCCAAGAAGGGAAAGAGGAGACCTAACAGAAGATGAGAACAGGACAAAGAAACCTAGCCTGAAACCAAAACAGAACTCAGGCAGGCAGAATGGCAAGAGACAATTAGTGTTTCAGTGCAGAAGTCTGAGAAGCAACGTCCAGCTGCTGAAATAGCTAAGAAGAAGAAAAAGAAATTAAAGCCCAAGGCGCCTACTTCCAAGAAAGGATATTATGCACTGTATAGATATTATACAATATATTCATATCAATTTTTTTTTATCTCGGAAGATAATTATAATAAATCTTGGTTCTGTATAAGAGATATAAGATAAGATAATACTTTATTGTCCCAGAGGAAAATTTTTCCTGGTGGCACAGGACTGCAAAAACACAAGCAGGTATACATAAAAATTAAATTATATATTATTTTACTCTCATTAAAATTCTATGACCTACATGTCGCAAAATAAGTTTACTCAACACCAGTACGTTTACTCACCTTCTCAGTGGAGTCTGGTTTTTCCAAGGGCGTGTCAATGTGAGAGAGAATAGCTCCACAGACCTCCGGATTGGGACACGTATACTTCAACTGGTCTCTCAGCACAGCGTCAGACTTCTCTTTCAGCTGCTTCAAAGGTAATCTTACAGTGTTGGTGCTGGATCCTTTGGGCTTCTGTTGAAGTTAGACAAAAAGAGTCCATTTAAAAAAAGAACATTCACACAATAATGGTCATATATTATACTGTGCAATATGAAAGATGATGGACATAAACCATAAACAGGCAAGGAAAAAAGAACTTGCAGAATTTACAACAAGTGGTCTTTTAAACACTAAAAACATCCAGATTTTAAATTTCCTAGACCATAACTTTGAATTAAAGAGACATTGTTGGAACAAAATCAAGAGCTGTCTAATAGGCCTAACTCATGGAACCATATCGCCACTTGTGCCTAGGATTTAAGGAGCTTTTTTTAAATCAAAGAAACAAAAATTATCTACAAAAAAACATGGAGCTTGGGGAAGACATTAAACTACAATGTTCTTGACTTATCATCAGATTTTACATCCATTCAGGGAAACTTTGTTGAAACATAGAAATAAAGAAAAAGGGTCCAATATGAAGAGAAAAAAAACATTTGACAGACCAAAAAAAAACACTTCAACAAAAGATAGGACAACACTAGGAATGTTTTAAAAGTCACTCTTACAGCTCAACTCAAGTCCTGCGTCTGAATAAGCCATACTGCTCAACTCAAGTCCAGCGTCTGAATAAGCCATAGTTTCAGCTATCATTTCACAAAATTCTGTGGGCCATGAAGCCTGCACTATACTGACACTGACAGCAATTCCAAGAATTTCACCCCTTACAAAATTATGCCACCCCCCACCCCAAATCTCCCCTTACGTGGTATTGTGAAAGTGTTATGTACTGCATGGTTGTAATTTTCATGTGAAAAGATTTATGTACTTCCAATTTCTAGTGGGGAAGAATAGCCTACTGTGAATATGTTATGGACTGCACGGTTGTAATTATCTTGTGAAAAGATTATGTACCACTCATTTGTAGTATAAATTCATAAAGTCGTTTTTATAATATGGTTTTCCTTGTTTAATAATTTGTTTCAGATTGGTATTGTTCACATCGAATCTGTGAAAAGTTGAGTAAAGCCTTATTCCTATTTCAGAAATTCTAATCTTCTTGAAATTATTAGTTTATTTGAATTAAGCTGGTTTGAACTCTGCTACTCGAATTTCACAGTTTTCGCAATCTTTCATAGGATTGGCACCAAATTGTAAATATTTTTCCAGATCATTGCTGTAATTCAAAATATTCACCCCACATATTCACAAACCATACATTTACATTCATTTATTTCAGATTTAAGCAATTTACTTTCCTCTGGGTGAAAGACTGCTTTGAAGTCCATGCTCATAACAACCTTCTTCACACAAATGTTTATGCAGCAAAGCATAAAACATTAGCAATGACATAAAATCAACCTACACTTACCATAATGAATCAAATAAGTGAAATGCTACCAGATGTATCAATCACATTTTTTCGGCACAAAAACATGCTTTAAAAAATTCATTTTATGACAAGAAAGAACACATATTTACAACAAACATAAGATACCTTTTCTTTTTGTTGTTGTGGTATTTCAGCATCATCATCATCAAACTCCATTATTTCACATTCATATTGTTCATATTGCGGAACATCCTCAAAGCACTCAGGACCTATAAAATTAAATCACAATCGAGGGAAACAAACTATCAAGCTAATACTGACGATGACTCATACATTTCAAATATTATATGACTATTAATATTACCTGGAGTCTAGAACCAAGGCAGAGTTCTAGAGTATAATATTTTGTTTCGTGAGTGTCATGGCATTTATCAAGCCTTAAGTACACCTCTGTCTCAAAAATTACCACTACCAATACAGTCTCACCTGTCCAGGACAGAATCACAATAAGGGAGCCTCAGAAAAAAATTCTGTCTTACATATTTTCCATCTTAGACAAGGGAATTTAGGCAGAGCAGGGGCATCCAGAAGGCCAGACATATGCAGTGGGATCAAGGGTCGCCTGTCCTGAAGGCAAGCAGTGATCAAAACATCACATCTCCCAAGTGCTGTCCTAGCAACTCGACTGACAATGGCATGCATTAGTCTTACCAATCCATTGTGACCAGTATTTGCATCTCATTATGGCAACTGTTTGATCAATTAAAGACAGAAATAATTAAACATCTCCTTTATTTCCACTCTTAGCCCCACCCTCGATGTAATAGGCACAATCGACCAATGCCACTCGTCCCCTGCATCTAACAACAATTCACGGAACTTTTTCCCCAGCTGGCCATACAATTAGGGCAGCAGATAGTCATCAAATTTCATATCTCTGACAAACTCAAACTGTAATTTTGTTGCTCTTTCCCAAAATTTGCTCTTAACGGCAAATGTATCATCATCACTGCTTACTTTATCTTTGTGCCTTCAACATTGCCACTGCCTATCTCTTACAATTTTGCTTCACTCTCAGTCTATTCTCTCATATATCAAAATGCTGAACATCAAACCTTCCATTCAACAAGTCTAGATGCAGACAATTCATTGAGAAGAAAAGTTGTCCAGTACAAATTTATAAGACATTCAATGGGACCTCATTTGATAGAACCAACCAAATGTTACTACAATAACATGGTGAACTTAAAGATTCAACCTTACCTCATCTTTAACTACATTTAAGGCACTATACAAGAAACCAAAAATCAATTATCCATGCTATGGCATTGTGTTTTTGTAGTCTACTTCCAAATTATTAGCTAGAAAAAACACATTTTAATGTTGTTGGGTTTTTTTATATTTAAAAAAAAATGTTTATTTACAATTAACATACAGTACAAAGGAACAGGAGAAATTCTCAAATGTTAATTTTTTTATTTTTTTTAAAGAGGAGGGCATGAATATTATTTCTTAAGATTACATGATCTACCTCTCATTTTTTAAAAAGAAAAGAATACAGTCATCTAGTTGCTAAAATCAGAAGAAAAAGTATGTCAGTAGATCTCAACAAATAGATGGGGAGAGATGATAATGAATGCATCTGAACTAATCAAATAGGTTTTTTCTTGTCAAAATGCACTGTCTCAATAAGACAATGACATGACAATGACAATCTTTATTCATCTCGCAGGGAGAAATTTGTCTTGGTCGTTTCCTATGGCAGTAGATGTTACAAAGGTTAGGTGCACTCACCCATACGCACAACAAGACAGGACATTAGTAAATACATGTCTCATGTGCTGGAACAACCTGCTCCGTAAAACATTCTTTCTCTCTCTCTCTATCTCTAACTCTCTCTCTCTCTCACTCTCTCTCACTCTCTCTCTCACTCTCTCTCTCACTCTCTCTCTCACTCTCTCTCTCACTCTCTCTCTCACTCTCTCTCTCTCTCCCTCACGCTCTCTCTGTGTCATTTGTAGCACTGTACAGTAACCTCACTGCGGTCGGTAAGAATTAATTTCTATATCTGTTGATCTTGCTTTTTTGGAAATGTATAGTTTACTGCGGGTCGATAATTGAAATTCCCAAATCAGAGGGTGGCTATGGTCACTAAGCATTATATCCGCCTTTTTTAGAATGTTTGTTTTGTGCAGATATTCAAAGTTTCTTAGGTCTCAACAAATTGTTCTTGATACAAAAAACAGTTTGATGAAGAAATTAATCAAAGTAATGGGATGGCATTGGATTCACTAGAATACAGCATACACATTATTCCCTACACAAAACTAAGAAATTATGCTCATGAAGAATAACACAGGCCTTTACAAACGCCTTTGTTTTTTGAGAAAAACAAACTTCCACATAAGTTGAGAGTATTCATCTTTTTCATGCCGGCACATTTACCTACAAAATCCTCGTCACAGTCTTGTTCCTCTTCTGATTCTTCCTCCTCTTCCAAGATGTATCCAGAAGCAAAATCCATGGTGATGGGCGGGCTAGTTAGTGTTGCTTGAACATAAAATCAGAATTCTTGAATCTGAGGATAAAACCATACAAAACAGAACTAAGCAATCCCTAAGATTTTTTTTTCTTATTAAAACAGTCCCTTTCATGATGCAAATGATACTGTAACGCTACTCAATTAACTGAAATTAACTTTCACTGCTGATATCAGTTTATTTTTATTAGAAGTTGATTCATAATTTATTAAATATTATGCATCAGTTACAACATTAAACAAATTACAGTCAAACCTGTGTAAGACGGCCACCCATAGTCAAGGAGAAAAGTGGCCGTATAAGACAGGTGGCCGTCTTAGGCAGGATTTATACAAAAATGAAGAAAATAAACCATTCCCATCTGAGGTCCCAATCCAAAGTAGCCGCATTGTTGTTGTTTTTTTTGTTTTTGTTGTTGTTGGTGGTGGTGGTTTGTATTTTGTTTGTAATTTTTATTTTGTTGCTGATTTTGCACAAGGGTGACAATAAAACGAAATGTATCAGACGAGGAAGACCGAGAGCCGTGTTAAAACAAACACATGGGTCGCCACCACTCAGAGAACGAGCGACGCTTCTGTCACAAGTTCATGTTGATGTCCTATGTTACTTTGTTACAGACTGTGTAACCACTCATCTCACTTACGATTTGTGTATGAGTTCTGGGTGGGGCTTATGGGTTATGAGGGATCACACGCTTACCTCACCAGCAGCTGAAAATTGGTAGCTATTGGTAAACAGTGGGAGGGGCCGACGCAACATGATCGGTTGGAGGAACTACCTGACAACAACGACAGGTGATTGAATTATGACGGCTCACCCACAATGCCAGGGGCCAATGGACAATTTATGACAAAACGTAATGGAGTCACTAAGGTGGCCGTCTAAGACAGGTGTTATTGCTTAGTGTGATAGGGGTTGTGTGTTAAAATATGGTGGCCGCGGCGCGTTGGACAGGTGCCCATTTTACACAGTTAGATTATATAGAAAAAACGCAAGGGGGGAAATGGAAAGTGGCCGTTTGTACAGGTGGCCGTCTTATAGAGGTGGCCGTCAGGGCAGGTTTGACTGTATATAATTTTTCAGGAATTTGATATTGACTTCCATGAAAATTGTAACACATTTACACAGATAAGACTAATTTATTTATCGCACTCACTAAAGACCAGTCAACTTGTAATGCAATACATATCTTTGATTATTGTCATTCTCACAAACTTTGAAAGAGCTCCTCGAGAAAAAAAACTCATCATACAAAAAAAAAGTCATGCACACTTTCACATACAGCGTCATGCTGTTCTTGCTGGAAGCTGTGCATTATTTAGTTTTGAATCCTGTAAAAACAGTAGCTGCCCGTCCTTTTCAACACGTACCTTAAAGACCAAGTAAAAGCAACTATAAAAAATAGGACGTTTGTGTTGATATTTGTCATTATTTTGTTGTAATCAGTTGTTATTTTTATTATCATTTTTACTCTTTTTCGACTTTCACTGTACAATGAAAATGCCTGGAGCGGGCCTTACACTCACATCTGCTACTTAGTTATAAATTTGAAGAAAAACCCCACAAACACAGAAAAGAAAAATAGGTGTGCTGCCTGAATTACTGTCTGATGAATAAAAGCCTGATTTTGATCTAACGGCGTACTCTCCCAGAATTTATATTGCTCATGAGGTAAAGTCTAAAAATGACAACCAATCACGGATAGACCTAGATCTAGATCTACATCTGGAATTTTAAAGAGTTTGTGTCTATATCACACGATCAGCACAAGCAAGTTTTACTTTCAGTTTCAGTTTCTTCACTTATATATCTCGACTGAGACTGCATGAACGGTAATAATATTAAATCTAATAAAAAGGTAAATTTTCGAGTTTCGCCCTTGATCTACACATTCTTATCTGAAAACCAATGGCCACATTACAACAGTCTGCATAAGCATACACGAGAACATATTTGTGTCACAACGCGGTGGAATGCAGACGCTCATCAATTTTTGGGCATGTGGAGTTGCGGTACCATCAAAGCTTTTTTTTTTTTAAATACCCACCTTTCTTGAATAGAAGTCAAGATACATATGTATTTGCGATTGAAGGAGGCAGGGTCGCCTTGTTTCAGTGATAACATTTGCGAGAAAATGGCCGCCAAAGTTCGGTAACTTGAATAGCTATTGAGCATCCTTTACTGAAAAATTACATATTTTGTGCCTTTGATAGACTTTTTTCTGTCAAATTTACACGGAAATGTGTTGGGGTTTATTTACGGATATCAAAGGTGCTGAGCCAAAACAAAAAAAAGAAAAAAAGAAAAAAGTTGTCACACTTGAGGGAAAATATGCCGATATCTCCGATTTCATTAATTTGATGAGCGCCTGATTTCACCACGATGCCTCACATATGCATGGCATAAGTAATATTTATATAATGATGACTATAGTGTACCAGCAGTGCCATGACTACAAGTACAAGTGGATCTACAACGGTTACTGCATTTTAGATTAGGCCTACTGTATAATTACTTGCCAGTGCCAGTTCATTCAACTTTCAATTTCAAGGCTGTACTGTTGTTGTCGTAGTGCGTTGAGCACGGAAGTATAATTATATATCGTCTTTCACTGTTCTCCAACTTACTGAGTCCACCTGTGCCTCTTGAAATGGACTTTGATATTGTAAAAACAGTATAATACTGAAAGTAGGGACACTACTGTGGAATGTGTGTCGCTGATAGAGCTATAATATCCCTTCTCTTCTCTCGGTAGCAATGCTATACGTCTCGCGCAGTAAACAAAAAAACAAAGACGGATTTGCGGGAATTCCCAAATTGTCTTGGGAAGTTTGTCGTCCAGACCAAGGAGATTAAAAGTAATGGAGGATGCTCTGTGGGCGGCACCGCACGCCTGATAGGAGCCCTCTCTCGCGGCGGAACCGTGGGCTACCTGCGCTGCGCGATTGCCCGATTAAGGCACTGAAATCTAGATAAGAAAGAAGGTTTTATTCCGAGGTCCTTCAGATTAGGCAAGTCAATTAGTAAAAATGCCTTGCACCTGTGTTGTATTTAAATGTAAGAACCGATATAATGCTGCAGTGGACCGAGGTTTTCACAGTTAAGTTGTTTCCCTTTTTAAAAATTTGAATGAAAGTGTTTTTATGCCCCCAGCAATACAATTTAAATCATTCATTCATAAGAGGCTGGCTCCGGCGCTAAATGCCAAGGCCAACCCAGGCTGAAAGGGATACAGCACCCCAGCAGAAAGACTGAGATACTCAATTTTTTAAAAATATTCTTATTCATAAATATATATATATATATAATTATTATGAGTATATATATTATATAATTATTATGTGTGTGTATGTATATACATATTATACATTTTAATTAAAGATATTGCTTTCCTTCGTGTGTGCAAATTAGATGCTTCTGTAGTCTAAATGTAGATATCTATAGGCTCCATTAGAACATGAAATCAATATTCAACAACAATAATGATGAATATTTTCTATGTTAAAGAAACACCAAACCATATCAGATGAGGGGAGAAGGTAGGGTGGGGTGGATAAGAGTTTGAGTCTTGTTAGATAGAACTATACTCGGTTTAATTCTATTGTTGTAGTCTTCACCTAAGATCCCACAATCAATAATTCCGGTTCACTTAAGATTCTGCTGTTAAAAAATAAACCAAACAAAGCAACAACAAATTTTACTACACAAGAGTCATCACTAAGATAAATTATCCCACTCTGGAGTGTAATAAGGGACTAAAAACGCTGCTCTCCATATCATACTTTACGGGGGGGGGGGGGGGGGACCCTTCAAAGGTTATCCACGCTCATGCATGCGATCACACCCCCAAGGGTGCTGTTATCTCTTTTTTTTGGAATATTTGAAATCATTGTGCGCTCCACTTTGTGAAAACCAGGAAACAAAATTATTGTGATCAATAATATTATTTATAGACCAAGACATACTGTTAGCAATTAGATAAAGCAAACATCGACCCTCTTTTGTGTCCGCTATTCCTTACACATAAAGTTAGTTATGGCACACGCCTAGAATCATGCAATCATATATCTTAAATTCAGTTTAAAAGTATATTTTCATCCATTTCTTATAATTATATATTTTAGCATCTTGAAAGATTATCTTTTTAATTTGGTATGTTTGATAATTTTATGTTACTCGGACAAGTTTTCTTCTTATTTTACACATCTTTTTGATTTTTAAACTAGATTATAACATAAAACTCTTAAAGAATTGAACAGTCCGTATCACACACATAATTTTTTCTCTCTGTCATTATCCGTCAGCCCGTCAGTTGATCACAATCTCTCTCTCCCTCTCCCTCTGTCTGTCTGTCTGTCTGTCTGTCTGACTGTCTGTCTCACTCACTCTCTCTCTCTCTCTCTCATTCTCTCTCTCTCTCTCTCTCTCTCTCTCTCTCTCTCTCTCTCTCTCTCTCTCTCTCTCTCTCTTATTTAATTTTTCCCATTCTCCTTCGTCCCTTCCCAAGGCCCACCCCTCCTCTTTCATCCCAGCCCCATCCCCTCTTCCTTGCGTGCATTCCCCCCACTCCGTCCACCCCGCCCACCCCCACAACGTGGCCCAGTCCGATACAATTCTATAAAAAGAAACGCCACGGTTCGTAATTTAGCCCACACTCGGTGGCCATATTTGATCCCCAACGCGGCGTACTGCTCGCGGCGCCGCGAAGAGAGAGAGGAGGCTCCATTAGTTCTAAGCTCCTTGGTCCAGACCTAGATCGAGGCTGCTATTTTAGGGTTCGGGTATTCAGCAAAAACTCTTAGAATTTTGCACAAATAACAACCTTTGCATCACTAACACCTTCTACAGTGGCAAGGACAGACACAAGGTTTCTTGGTGCCATCCAAGATCAGGCCATTGGCACCAAATTGACTTCATCATCGTCAGAAAGAAAGATGCCAACATAATATTATGGTAAAGCAAACAAGATCCTTCTACAGTGCAGACTGCAACACTGACCACCTTTTAGCTAAGGCACAGCTAGTCACACAAAAAACACCAAGAGCTGAAAAATAAAAGAAACCTAAGATCAGCATAAGAAATACCAAAGACCCAGCGTTAAAGGAAAAATTTCAAGAACATGTTAAAGAAGAGCTCCAACACCTTATAGATTGCTCATCCTCAGACAACATGTGGAATAGCATGAGATTAACAATTTATAATTCTGCGTCGATTACTTTGGGAATAGAAAGACCTTACAAGGAGGACTGGGTTGAGGCCAGTGCATCAATACTCGTACCTCTACTCGAGAAAAAGCGTAAGATGCTGATACAACACAACACAAAATCAACAGAGAGTACAAGGCAAAAACTACGTGCTGCAAAATCCAACCTTCAAAGAGAAACCAGAAAGTGTGCCAATCAGTACTGGGACAAGTTATGCTCAGAAATCCAACAGGCCAGCGATACAGGTAATATCAGGAAAACGTATGAAAACATCAGAGTTGCCATTGGACCAACAGCAAACAAAGTGGCAACTCTAAAGTCTGCGACAGGTGAACAGCTGACAGACAAGAAGAAACAAATGGAAAGATGGGTGGAACATTATTCAGACTTATTCTCAGAGGAGCGACATGTTGATAGACAGCTGCATGAGGCCATTCCTCAGCTCTCCGAAATGTCAGAACTTGATACAACACCAACAGAAGAAGAACTCTCCTCTGCAATCGATGAACTCGCTTGTGGTAAAGCAGCAAGAAATGACAACATACCTGCTTAAGTGCTGAAAGAGAACAAAGAGACCCACCTCCCATATCTCTACAAGCTACTAACG